ACTTCAAAGTCATGTGAGACAGCTGATGCATCTTAATACAACCGAACATTTTGTCTGAGGGGCCGTGAAGTTTCAGGGCCGAGTGAAACTCTGGCGCGTCTCCACCCAGACTGCATTTATTGGAGGCTGAAATTGTTACTTACGGCCTTTTGCGTGTACCAGGGTCGATGTGACGTATTCCACACGAGTGCGTTATTTCTGTTTGAGAAAACAGCAAACAAAGCTGCACTGTGACCACTGTTCTGTCCCGACCGTAATATTTACATATCGTGAAACTTTATTAGTCTATAATGGCGCTTTTCTCTGTATTCTCACAACCAGAAATCTACGATACTGTCCGCTATTCAGACTTATAGCTTACTAATTTTATTCTCCCATAATACAGGTATCCACGTATCCAGATGACTGAACTGTTGTCGTCATCAAGTCAGTAACAAAATTTCGCAAGATGGTTCGCGTGTCATCATGTTGGTACGTGAAGGTGTCTTCTGGAATGTTGTGTCATGCAGACTGGTAAAGTTTTTCGACGTTTCAGAGGCGTTTGCTGTAGCAAATGTCTACTAGACTATACGACACAACGTTCCAGAAGACATCTTCATAATCGCAGCCGTGAGAAACTGAAATCTCACCACGTTCACAAATATCGGTACGCTAGAATGTAACCATATTATTTCTTAATGTATCAGAGTGACGTGCATTGCTGCTACTACAGTTTAAGAGATGTGTGTTCGAAGTAACACGCGGTTCCTTGTGAAACAAATTACGGTAACAGAAAACAGTACCTCGTTCATCATCACTAGAAACATAGAAACAGAGGCTTTTGAAAACAAAATAATGTAATTTAATAACACTCGGTGAGAAAATAGTAGCTAACTTTAGAGCTTTTATGGCACGAAAGCATTTGATATTAACTTAAATAATCAGTCACGCTTCTTCGTGTGAACATAAACTTTTAGCTTGAGTAAAAAACAAATTTACGCTGACAGAAAAACACCAAATAATGGCTATTATAGTCGGTGACGAAGACGACATTAATGTGAGGCCCTTATGACCAAGGTCAAAACAGTGTTTAGCTTTTCCTTTGAGTCACGCATTCTTGCAGGTTGAGTAAGAGCAGGTGACTCAATGTAAGCAAGGATCCGTAGTGAAAGAGCTGTCAGCTGGAAAGACTGTAATTTAGAAGCTATATTCTGACCATTTGCAGTATTTCTGTAGCGTTGGTAAACGATATGAAAGTCGCCAAACCTGTCCTTTGGATACTTTTTAGTATTCAGCAGTTCTGGTTAGGATATTGCACACATAACTCGGGATAGGTTTCTTCGTAGGTGCATGTTTTAGCCGGCTTCTACTACAATTTCATAAATGAAAACAGAACTTGACTAAAGCACATTGTGAGTGTGACAAATTAAATTCATCGCCAATAATTTTGGCAGGCAGGACTGCAGTTGAATTTTCAGTAGTTAACATGAGACCCAAATGGCATAGGCCCGTCCGCCCCAATCATTACCTTGAAATCTTAGTGTTCATCCGTCGCAAATGGCCTACTCGAGTATAGACAGACGTCTGCACGATCCCAGACCTGGCCCGGGGGCGTAAGCCATGTGCACAGAAAATGTTCGGTTCCTAGCCGGGTTCGAACTTGGTTTAAATTATATCAGTCGGATGCTTTCATTTCGGGCTTTCGCGGACTTCGGAAAAAGTTATCCAACCGATTTTATTTTCTAGGGGATTCTCAGAGATTCCCTCCCAAACACAATTCGAGATAGCACCTGACAAACATGGCATCCGACATCTTTGTACCATTCCTCAAACATCAATACAACCTCAGCTTAGGTGGTGTACGGGTAAGATATTTCAAGAGAAATTTCGGGTTCGGGCCGCGTCGAGCAAACGTAAAGCTAAGGTCCCTGAAGACCTCTGCTCACCTGCGAATAGGGCAAGATCCTACAGGCGGTGTCTCCCAGCACCCATTCCTGTGTCAGTCTGGTGGCAACCACTGCGGGAATACCCAACGCGAACACGAGGTCAGCAGCGGCGAGGTTCAACAGGAAGCAGTTGGTGACCGTCCTCATCTCCCTGTAGCGCAACACAGCCAACGCGATGCTGGCATTAGCCACTAAGGACACCAGGAACGTGAGCAACAGGAAGCCTATCTCCACGCCGGCAGCCACCGTCCTTCCGGCACCGAACTGGCTGTAAAACGTGAAAAAGGAGCGAAGGCCCCAGCCGCCTGTCGTGTCATTACCGTACACGTAAGAGGAATTGGCGCCAGCGTCCGTAACCATGACACCAGACATCACAAATATTCTCGTCCTCAGCCGTTTTATTGGAAATGTTTTGTCCTTCTTACCGTCTTCCAAAACCAAACATCACCCTAATAACCCACTTCATTTCACTTGTAATGTAGCAAGTCAACTTTTTATTTCAAATATTGTTCTTATAGACGAAACCCAACACTTTTATGCTCCTGTATTTGAATAATAAGTGTTTAATTAATCACCCATCCCATACCAAAAGCAAATAACGTTCATTAATGTGATTACATATAAATTTTGTTTCTGTCTTGTATTTGATAATAACTTTTCGTATAATTCGCCTGGATGACGTTTAATTTGAATATCTTGCATGTCTTATTTTCTTCAATAACAACACATTCAACGTTTAAAGAATCGTGCTTTTAAAAACTTTCGTTTAATTCGCCTTGGTTGTTCGCTTCTTTTCGATTCTTTGCTTATCTTCTTTTCTTCGAAAACAACAGTTCACATTTCAAGGAATCGCGCTGTAAATTAATCCAGAACAACAGACATGCGTAGGGATATGTGGAATGAATAACTTTTTTTGACATCACAAGAAACGTTCATGAATCAACCATTAAGACCTTTCTCGCGGCGTCAGATGTACCAGAATTTTCACTTCCGGTAATGCACATTTATTGTTGCAGCGTGAACGAAGCTGTTCACACGTCGTATCCTGTTTGGTGACGAAGTAATCAGCGAACAATAGTTAAGACAATACGACGGAGGAAGTTGTATCCAAGTGAGGTGAAGGTCACTGAACTTGCAATACTGGATTTGGAATAAGTGACAGTGGTCACTGCTCCCCGATGCTAAATTGCCCAGCCAGCCAGTCAGCGTCTTCCGGGAATGGTCACATTACAATTTGTGTGAGGAGCGTCTCGGAGTTTCATATTCTGGGATACAGTACGAAAAAACAGCTGCTTACAGACGAACGTCCTGAAACAAAAACGGTAAATTAGAAGCTGATCGGATATTTCTGAATGTCCAGATGTACAGACGACAAAAAAGTTAATAATAAAAGAAGAACAACACAAAGTGATAATTCAGATCAAAACTTGCACACGGAGTAAATGTTTAAAAAATTGTTAGCTTGCCATTATGTTTGTAAACGCCAACGATTAATATAACACTATAACTGTTCCTGTTTAACGTGATTACCAGAGTCTGAGCTTGGTCTCTCAACCTGAAGAAAGAAGTTTCGGTTGTTTAAAAAGAGGATACCGAGGATAATACTTTGACGGACTTACGATGTAAGACGAAACAGAAGGCTGGAGAAAACTGCATAATGAAAAGTGATGATTTGTCCTCTCTATCGAATATCATTAAAGTGACCAAATTAATGATTACGACACGAGTAGGGCATGTAGCACTCATGAGAGAGCTCAGTGTGCGTGTGTGGACTGCAATAATCTGCTTCAGGATAGGAATCAATGTTGAACTCTTACAAACACAGTAACAAACCTTCTAGTTTCATACACGAGGTGGGAAATTTGTTGACAAGGTGAGCGACTGTCAGCTTTTCAGGACTGCATGAAGTTTATTTTTCAGCATTATGTGCCTCGTGTTTTACGATATTACAACTAATCTAACACCTACAGCCATAGTCACTTGTCTTCATGTGATTTACCGAAACTTCTAGTTGTCTGAGGATTGAAGAAATATAGGCTTGAATCGGAAGCCGACGTAAAATATCAATAGTAATAAATTTGTTTTATTACTGAAACAATAAGTTCTATGAATAACTTATCTCCCTTACTAACTTTAAAATATTTTAGTCATATGAGAGGGCGAACAGGTTATAGAAATTAATAATTATATCCATTTGTATGTTGACTTCCACGAGTATAATTTCCGATGTCAGATATAACCTCAAAGTTTTTGACGCTGTTGTCACGTATGCAATTGTTTTTTGCCTTAACGCACAAACTGAAGGCTTGTTAAGGAGGTAGCGTCGGCCAATCTGTCTGTCTACCAGAATATTTCATTTCCTAAACTAACGGACGCCTTTGATCAAGTCCATATTATCTTCTAACCAACATTTCTAATCGTGCCTACCCATGATTATTAACTTTTCTTAAAAGCGTCTTATAGTACAATTTAGTGCAGACTTTTAAACGTAGACTTTATTAAGGCATGCAACTTTTATTTCAGATATTAATTTTAACACAGCAGCGTAATTTTCTTAACGCATCTTGTAAGAATGTAATCAGACGATCACGAGGGAAGAGAATGTAGTCGCCTAGATGACAATATTAATGACGGATGTCTCACCCTCACGGAATATCTAAAGAAGAAGGTTTGGTTACCGTTAAAATATTTTAGATGAACACAGTTGTTTATTCTCCACGGAAGAAATCTTGTTGTAATTCTGTCAAAGAGGAATACGTGTGTGTGTGTTTGAAAAAATTATAATGCTCTGTACCCTGGATAAAGATTATCCCAAGAATCCATTCGGATTGACAAACAAATAAGAAAAATAATCGCGTATTAATTTTTTGGTGTCTGAACTACAAACTGTCGAAAAATATAAATTAAAAGATTAGCAAAAAGTGAAGTGTGACATGGATTTGTTACTCACTGCTAGGATAACTGTTGACTGTGGTTCTTCGTAGCAATGTTCCCGCCTGTCGAGTGACATAACCACACACCACAGACGAACGAGAAGCTCTGAGCCCATCAACTTCGGGCTTACCCCAGCACGCGACTGCAGCTGGCTGCTGCCTGACGAAGGTGTGTGAACGGTCCGATCAGCACCGAATGACGTCACGGTACGTCATCATTTCCAGCACAAAGCCACATACACAACAACGTTCCTGCAACAAAAACATTGCTGCTGGTTCTTTCACATCATCATGAGTCATTTCTGACAATTCGTCATTGAAAGATGGTCTACGGCATTGGTCATCACAGACAGCCACAAACACAAAGGACATTTCTGAGAAATTGTACGTCAGTTCACTATGAATGCGATTAAATCTCATTCCATTAAAATGCTTTCTTCTTGCTGGGTGAGGCGTGGCCAAATTGGCTTCTGTGAATACATTTATTTTTCATAGTCTCATAGACTACGTATGAACACAATGTTCATAAAATCCAAGGAGGCCACTTGGGAGATTTAGGATAATATTAAAGCAGATTTTTGGTCAAAACTTTCCCTGGCTTTCGAATACTTAATTCTTTTGGATGAATGGTGAAAGAGAAGCAAAGAGCTCATTTTTGCTTGCTCGGTATGAAATTGCCAGGTATCGCGGAATTTTGTTTCCGGAATCGAGACACCATTTCCTTCACTGTATTTCATACCAGTTTTCAGTTGCAAGATTCCAAAGTATTTTGAAATGTAACTGAATCGAATTGTCATTTATACGCTCTGTGGTCAAAATGCAGAATTACAGAATGTTAAGTCAGGTGGTGCGTGTTAATTACCACAGTGCTACAAAGTCTGGCGAATTCCTAATGTTGCTCGAAGCTGCGAAGACAGTTAATCTCTGAACTGCAGACACGCACACACGTTTCTGCTGATGTACTGTCGCCAGCAGTGACTGCTCTTGTTGTAATCAGCAGAATACAAAAGCCACATACCATTCACTGATATTAGAACAAGAAAATTACCTCTTCGCCAGGCATAAATGAATCGCTAATCCCTGTACATTTATCCACCCCACTTGTATATTCTTGAAATGGTTACCCTCAAGTGGTTTATCGAACGACCCCTTACGACCTCCTTGCGAGACCTTTGTCAGTTTTTTTAATTCCCAGCATCGCATCCCTTTGCGCTTGTAATAATTATCCAGTTCTCGTCCACAGCTGTCCAAGCCCGCAGCAAACCACATTGATGTTAATTACCGTAAATTGGGAAGGCTAGTTCACATATACTCATATTCACATTCTCTTTCTTATGTTCTTTCATCTTCGTCACCCCCACGCGTCTGTTAACCTTGCTTACTCTTCAAAGGACCAGAAATTCTCCCCAGCACCCTGTTTGCAAACACTTTCTTACAAGATGGCTCTCTTCTGGGTTGTAGCGCCATATAGTCTGGTCGAAGTTTACCTACTTTTCGTAGGTCTTTATTGCCGCCATCATCAGGGCGATCAAACATCTCATCGTCCTGATGAAGCCAAAATGCAAGTAAAGCTGTCGCCGTGTTTCAAACTTCACACTAAAATACGAAGAACAACTTATATATTTTTTAGGTTTGATATTGGACACAAAATTGTAAGGTCCTGTGTTAAGTGGCGCGTTGTCGCGTTCTTCTTAAAGTTGGTATTGTCGATAGTGCGAATTAAAAAGTTTCAAGGTGGATAACCACCTGTAGCATGGTATTCATAAGTACCTTGAAAATCCGTGGTTTTGGTACGTAGTTCTAAACAGGGCAGCTATACACACAGGAACAAGATGACACACCTTTTCTGCCCCATAACATAAAAAACTGTACTAAGAAATGAATATGGAATTGTCCTTACACGACAAAGTCTGATGAATTTGCGTGAAAGGGATTACTGTATGCAAAAGCCTTCACCTTCAAAAGGGAAAACCAAATGTAGCGGTCAAGTGGTTAGCACTCCTGCTGCGTATTCGAGAATTATCGGGTTCAAATGTGTGGCAGGAGACAGGAAATCTTTACTGGTTCTTTTTCGTGGTTTTACTCACGCCCTTCCAGCAAAATTTCGGTGTAGTACTTTAAATGAGATCACGACCACTTCCATATAACATCCAATTTTTAATTGATTAATAATCCTATCATCCAGCGCTACATAATCTGATCTGCTGACTGCGTCGTTAAAATAAGCGCATGTAAATAAATTTGCAACAGAATAGGGACAAGTATTCGGAGGACCTATAGGCTAATTCTCCGCTTGACGTGTTGTGAACCAACCTCGACTTGGTCCATGAACTCCATAGAACTTCCCAACATTGATTGACGTGTTTGTATCATTGCCCCATCCACTCGTATTCCTCTCAACTGGCAATTGAACCATTAACTTTTTTCTTTTTAGTTGAAGCCTAAGCTTAGCACATGCAGCTTTCGTAAACAACGCGCGATACATTTCTTATTTGGTTCTGGCGTGAAGTTTGACAAATATCGAGACAGTTTTTTATTTAAATGCTTGTTTCAACGAATTATGGAGCCACATGATAGATATGAATAATAATGGCTGTCTTCTGGGTTTTTGCGCCGTCCATCATCATGGAGATCCCCCTGATGATGGAGACAGCAAGCACTACCTTTTAAGAGGCCGGTGAACGTCTACCAGACTACACGGCACATCCCAGAAGACAGACACCGTCTTTTATTATATCGAAAATGTCGGATTCCGTATAATTTTGGGTTAATCACATTGTGTAGGTCCATATAAATAAATTATAATACATATTTCTCTAATGTGTCTGTTATTATGAATGTTGGTTGGTTGTGATCATCTGTTGTTTCAGGTTTTTGGGTCTTTGTTGATGATATTTATTAACGTTTGGGTTGTTTTAACAGTTGCCACGGTAATATTGTTAAGAGGTGTTGGCCTCACGGGATAGGGATAATACTCATGACTATTATTAACGAGAAAGTTACTAATTACATTCATAAATTTAAAATGTCAATGTTAGAGGCCGTAATTAGGTAAATAGTTTTACGTTAATGTTCATATATCGTCACATCTGCTTCAATTTTTACTCAATCTGACCATCAACTAGAAGCGGTCGCATTGAATACACCGTTCTTCTTATGTTTTTCCTGAAAGACTTAATGTAATAATTTTACATTCCAAAACATAGGCATTTTTCAATGTTTCTTTCAACAGGCTGAGGCAACTTTCTTCTTTCCATTAGTTCATTCACATCGTCCAGAGTATGAACGCAACTAGCGAGATGAACGAAAGTGTCCACGCCAGAACGTGAGTGAGTTATCTCTCCGAGTTAACATGGTTCGGCGTTCGCCTACAACATGCGAGCTGTTCGACCGTAGTGTCCACATGGAACAGGGAGATGCTCGCGAGCCATTCGTGAACTTCAGTGTGTACGTACCTTTTGGAGCAATGTGAGAACTTGGTGCTGTGAACAATTAGCTTGAAATAAATGCGAAATGCTACAGACCACAGAAACTTCCTCTGTCAACAGGATACCAAGGCAGGAAGTTTGACCACATAAAATAGCGAAACTAATTTGATCACTACTCAATTCCCGGAAACGCAAATAATTTGTTTAGTACTTAACAAGCAACGAAAGGAAACGGATATTTAGACTAGGATATGCAACCACTTCATTTCTGTAGATCGGTGGCCAGAAGAATTCTTTTTACAATATCTGTCAACACTATTGACATAACTTTTTATTCGTGATTGGATCATTTATTTGGATGTATGGTCCACGTTGGTTAATGTAATTACTTAACCACTGGCTAAGAACTTAAATACTTACATCAGAAAAATCCACGCAATTAAATTCTTATCGTGCATAGTACTTCAGAGTATGAAATTATTACACGTGTAGGAGAATGTAAATGCTGATAGTATTAATAATATGAAGGTTATCTAAAAATTTAAAACTGAAATTGTGGGTGTGTAGGTTACGTTTGATTATACCTCGAGAAAGGCTACATCGACTTGCACCAAACCTGGTGTGCTAAATCCATAAGGCCATAAACAGTTTATAGAAATATAAAAACTTCAAAAAAGTGTCCTGAGTTCGAGTCCCTTCGAGCGCGGTTTCTGCAACTCCCAATCTAACCTAACCCAACCCAACCCAAGCCAACCTAATCGAACATGACTTAACCTGAATTAAACTATACTAGCCTAACCTAACCCAACGTAACCTGACCTAAAATAACACAACCTAAGCTATTCTAATCTAACCCTACTCGATCCGAGCCGACAGAACCCAACCCAACACAACCTAACCTAACCCAACCTAACCTAACATAACCTAACCTAACCTACAGTAACGTAACAAAACCTAAACTAAGCAAACATTTAGTCGGTTAATGTTGCATTTTTCGATAATTTATGTTGATAATTTGAAGTTAACTGATATTAAAGTAATTATGGACGTGAGATTTGAGTTCTGAAGGTGGTGATGGTGTCATTGTTGTTGTGGATTCTGACGACGTACGAGGAACACACTGGTAAGTATGTTCCTCTGAAACGCTGGTATCTACCTTAAAGTCCATAAGGCTTCACAGAAGAACAACATCGATAATTTAAGGCCAATTTTAAGTTTCACAATACTTTCATTAAGTGGCTCCCTTTTTACCAATGAATGACGCGTCCTCAAGTTGTGAATGGGAGAGAAGGCCTGCAGATAGGCTTACGGAGGGCAGCTGCAAATAAAATGAACAAGCAGTTGCGAATAGCCGACCAGGGCTGGTCCTAGAATGTGAATGTTGAGGCGGGGAGCTAACAATTCCACTGTAAGAAACCAGTGTTATGAAATTTTGCATACGAAGTCGGCATCTTGTGAATACAATATTGAAGGGTGAGATTTCAAATTCTGACAGATGAGATTTTGATGGTTACTGCCTTCTGGGGTCTTGCGCCGTGTGGTCTGCTATAAGTGTACCGACGTTTCAGAGGTGCTTTCTGATGGAGGCAGTACGCACCAACGTCGGTACACTTCTGTGAGAGTAGACGGCGAAACATCCCAGAAGACAGTCATCTTAACACAAAAATCCTTCGGATTCCATCAAGGGCAGGGAATTTCTGCACTGGCTGAGCGTACTATTTACCTTCACGGACGAAGTTTCAGTGGAGGTGTGTAGGATATATGTCAAAACTTATAAATAGATCAAGGGATGGTGCGTAGGGCCCTGGACAGCTGTGA